ACCATATCCTTACTGATCATAATTCCTTTCTTCACTCCATTTTTGTCGGAGAAAAGAGTTATCCCCCTCTTCTGCATTTCCCTTTCCCCCTCTCTTCTCCCTCTTCTTCACAAACCGATCCCTAAACCAGCAACAACAACACAAAAATAGCCTTCGCCTCTGCCATCTCCATCTACTGAACGCGTTGGTGGCAAGACAGGACTGCAGAAGCAAAATTTTCTAAAATCAAACTAAATTTTTTGAAGGAGACTCAACCACGAAAAAAGAGTAAAGCAACAATGCTAATAGTTCAGATGGTTGGTTTTGATGTTATACGTTGCTTTTGTTATGGTCTCCAGTATATCAACTGCAACAGAGATGTTTCCTCCAATCATCTTTAGTGCACGATTTAGAAGTAAGCCCTCTTGTTTGTGTCAAATGGAAACATTCATGGGTTCTTAACTCTCCTGTTAGTGTAAATGCAGCAGCAGCAGCAGCAAAGAAGTTTGACAACACATCAAGCACCCAGGCAAAATGATACAATGCAGTAGGTGATATGTGTCTCGAAGGTTTTGAGTTACTAAAGTTCATGTTAAAAATAAACATGAATTAAAATGGATTATTCTATTAAGCAAACATACCCTCTAATCATACAAAGATCAGATATCCAATTCACAAACAATTAAGCCATAAAAAATCATCACACATCCACCACCTTTGATTGCCTAAATTTGGTTTTTCGCAAAGTTATGGACTCTTAAGGGTAACGTTCATGGGTAGTCTGTTTCATAACTCTAGAGAGCACAGTAAGCAGCCACCAGCCAGACACAGTGCGGTAGGCGAATATGATTCTCAATTCACAATTTCTCACCATCGGAAGTAAGAACAGACCATAATAAGCGTAGCGTTCATGGGTGGTCTATTTCATAGCACTACTACACAATTTGTTAAAAAAGAAAGAAATGTATTTAGCATCACGGCGGAACAACTTTTACAGGCCAACAACGACAACATGCTGCAACCACCAGAACTGGTATCACAACTCATAGGGAAAATCAAAAGATTTACTCTCAAATTAAGTAGTTACAACATCGAGCAATCGTCAAGCACATACACCATCACAAAAGTCACGGAACCTGATTCACAAAGCATTCAAACATTTGAGGACATTTCTGCAAAGGTACAACTTATGTCTTTTTTCCAAACCATTTCCATCAACATGCTAATAAATTTGCAATGCATAAAACAAACGGTCCAAAACTTGAAATTCAGCCTGTTTGACTGACCCATGCCAAATTCTAATTATTCTTTACTTTTAAATTTTCTATTTGAAAATAAAAAATAGTGAAAGAAAAGAGACGACTTCAATTCGCCATTTGCACATCACTTATTCGGGAATAAAACCATTGAAATTCAAAAGGAACTGAAAATGTATAGGATCGTTTTAATGTTTAAAATAACTAAATAGATCTTTATGTTTAGTTTTTTACTAACAAATACCAAACGATTCCCTATAAAATACACTATAATTTGATCATTATGATGTCAAATAATTATAAAATATATATTTGAAATGATAAAATTGGACTAATTGGGTTGGTCGAGGTTGAACCATTGAATAACTTTAAAATACATTATATTTTAGTCACTAAGATATAAAATAATAGCATAATATATATTATGCGAGAGAAAATAGTTTGTTTTAGAATGACAAACCAATGATGTTCATTTGTTTTACTTGATGGCCAAATCTCATGTAGGTCAGGCCCATTCAACTCTTTTATTTTCTGGTTAGCGGTTAGCCCATTAGATATCATGCATTAGTTTATTGTTAAATTTTTTATTTTTAGCAATAAAAATAAGTATTATTGTTGTCTTTTCATATATATTTTATCACCACGGAAAAATAAAAGGGCGTAAAGAAAAAAAATTGACACTCCTGGACCCGTTCAAATCCGCATGTGTACGGTAAGTTGGCCCGTTCCACAGAGGAAAGAGAAAAAAATTGACACTCTCTATTCTACCCTTCCTACAAACGCTCCTGGAGCAGGGAATTTGAAATTGGGGAAGGGTTTTTCCTCCCAGCTATTATATGTTTTTAATTTAAAAAGATACAACAAATTTACTTAGTGTGATTGGTTATGATCCTTGCTTTTCTTTAAAATGCTCATGGTTCGAGTCCTAGTACCTGTCTTTTTAATGAATAAAAAAAAGTAATTGTGAAGACCAAAATGTCCTTCCTACTTTCACTCTCGTTGCAGGAAATTTGAAATGAGGCTCCCGTTTTTCCTTTCGGAGTATTATATTATGTGTAGATATAGATTTTTTAATTAAGTCGTCTTCGTTCTATTCCACCAAATCCCTAGCTCTACGATCTCTCTCTCGATCGTACGAAATCAGTGGGTGGCTCTCTGACCTCTCTCTCCTGCATATCAGTGTGTGATTCTCCATCCTCTCTCTCTCTCTCTGATGGCGAGTCCTTTTTCCTCTTTCTCTTCTATTTACCAACGATTGAAGAAGTGATTGTAAAATGGAAACTTTAGAATTTTACACTATCATCTGGCTAACCTATATGTTGTTCTCTCTTGACCGATGACATATGCAGGAGGTTTCTACTCTTGCTGGAAAGGCATGGATTCGAGTCCTAGTACCTGTCTTTTTAATGAATAAAAAAAAGTAATTGTGAAGACCAAAATGTCCTTCCTACTTTCACTCTCGTTGCAGGAAATTTGAAATGAGGCTCCCGTTTTTCCTTTCGGAGTATTATATTATGTGTAGATATAGATTTTTTAATTAAGTCGTCTTCGTTCTATTCCACCAAATCCCTAGCTCTACGATCTCTCTCTCGATCGTACGAAATCAGTGGGTGGCTCTCTGACCTCTCTCTCCTGCATATCAGTGTGTGATTCTCCATCCTCTCTCTCTCTCTCTGATGGCGAGTCCTTTTTCCTCTTTCTCTTCTATTTACCAACGATTGAAGAAGTGATTGTAAAATGGAAACTTTAGAATTTTACACTATCATCTGGCTAACCTATATGTTGTTCTCTCTTGACCGATTACATATGCAGGAGGTTTCTACTCTTGCTGGAAAGGCATGGATTCTGCTCGTTCTCTGATGATTATTTACTATTGGTTATGGTAGGAGTGGACATTCGTTCGATTCGGTTCAAACCGAACTGAAATGATGATTACCGGTACCCCAGATATAGTCAAATACCAAACCGGTTCCGAACCAAATTATATTTTGGTTTGGTCTGGCCGAACCGAAATATAACTCGGTTCGGAACGGAAAACCCGACGAACCCGAGAATTCTTTTTTCACATTCCTGATTTGTTACCCCTCTCGGCTCTCTCACACTCTCACTCCCTCTTCCCATTCTCTTCTTCCTTTTCCCATATCACCCTCTTCAATCCATCCATCTCTCTCTGCTAAAAAAACAGGCCATCGATCCGCCCTTACCAAGCACTCCGCCGCCTAGAGCACTCCACCCCGCAGAGCGCAATGAGCTCCATCCGCCACCGGGCTCGCCTTCTCCCCAGATCTAGAGCACTAAGTTCGCCGCTCACCCATTTTGAGGAAGAGGAAGCGGTGGCAAAGAGAAGACAGAGCCATGGGAGAGCATGCAGGGGCTCCACCACCGCTAATTCTATCGTCTTTGTTGCTGATCCCGTCGCGGCGCCGTCTCTCCTTGTCGATTGCTCCGTCGCCGAGATGCCACACCAGAGTTCGTTTTCCGCGATGAAGGAGCTGTGTAGTGGGTATACCGTCTGAGGTTTCGAGTGATCGAGAGAGAGTGAGAGACGGTCGGTGGTGGTGAGTGGTGATTGTGGTGAGAGGCGGACGAGAGGGAGAGACAAAGGGAGAGATGGATGGAATTAGGTTTTGTTATTGTTGGGTCTTCCTTTCTTTGGATTCTGGAGGAGGCGGCCTTCAATTTGAGTCTCGGTTGTTGGGTTTGGCCCTCAGCTGGGCTTCTTTAATTTGTTGGGCCTGGTAGGATGTGGTAGTTGGGTATGCAATTTCGGTTTATCGGTTCGAAACTCGGAATTTCAGGTTCGGTTGGCACACTCTGTATTCCAAATTAAGAGTATTTCCTTTCCGATTTCCGATCCGAATAGTTTGAAATTCGATTTCGATCGGTTTGGTTTCGGTTCGATATGGAGAGTTAAAACCGAACCGGATGCCCACCCCTAGGTTATGGCTTGGGGTTGGTAGGTTGTTTAGAGGTCTTTATTTAGTTCTGTTCATTTTGCCATCCAATTTTACCCGAAAGACCTTGATTGAATTCCTCAAACCTTTCGAAATTCCAAGCCACTATAATGCTTACTACGACGCAAAAATGACCAAGAGATCAAATGAAGTCCTTCGATCCTCTCGTTTTAATACCCATCAGAATCTAGCAGAATGCTTATTCAAATTTTGACATAATACGAGGGATAGCTGAAAACAAGACCACAACACATGAATCGGTAACGCCAAAGCCACTGATTTTAGTAGAGTTTCCTTATAGCTGTCCATGAAAGATAGAACACTAATAAGAAATTCTCGTTGTCTTCTTCTCTGCATTAAGTTTTGGCTTACCCCTTTAAATTTTGGGAAGATTACTTTCATTTCTTGCCGCTGAGCTTTTGTTATGGGACTCCTTAACATCTGTTTAACCTCTTTGCTCATTGTTTTTGTAAAACACAATTTGCTTCGAAAGCTTACCTTTTCTTTTCAATAAATAAATAACTCCCTCGTTCTTCGTTATACAAGGTAGCTTGCCCTCTTACTTCACATCCTTGTACATTCTATTTTGATCCAAAGATACGTACCATATTACAAAACCTCTGATTCAATTACAAGTTCTAACGAATGGGGAAAGCCAACTTTGTGGTTTGGACCCATCTGCAGCCGGCCACCGCCGGCGTACTACCCAAATCTCAACGTAAGAACCCACCAAATTCTCCTCCCTATATTAACCGGAACATCAGAGCCATAAAAATCACAACAATTAATCCAACCAAAACTGCCCATCAACATGGAGAAGATAGAGCACACAACGATCTCCACAAACGGGATCAACATGCACGTCGCCTCCATCGGCGCCGGCCCACGCGCCATCCTGTTCGTCCACGGCTTCCCGGAGCTATGGTACACGTGGCGGCACCAGCTCCTCTCCCTCTCCTCCCTCGGCTACCGCTGCATCGCCCCGGACCTCCGCGGCTACGGTGACACCGACTCCCCGGGCCCGGCGGCCCAATACACCTCCTTCCACGTCGTGGGCGATCTCGTGGGCTTGCTGGACGGGCTGCGGATCCAGCAAGTCTTCTTAGTGGGCCACGACTGGGGCGCCATCATCTCGTGGCACTTTTGCCTGCTTCGGCCCGATAGAGTCCGGGCCCTGGTCAACACCAGCGTTCCCTTCAGCCCGAAGACCTCGTCGAGGGTGTCTCCGATGACCGGAGCGAGAGCCGTGCTGGGGGATGACTTCTATATGTGCAGGTTCCAGGAAGCCGGAGAAATGGAGGCTGAGTTCGCCGGGATGGATACCGGGAAAGTGTTGATGAAATTTCTCGGGTACCGTGACCCGAACCCGCCTTGTATACCCAAAGAAACCGGGTTCGTGGGCTTTCCGGATCCGCCCACTTTGCCTTCGTGGATCTCGCAGGAGGATGTTGACTACTATGCTGCCAAATACGACAAGAGCGGCTTCACTGGACCATTGAACTACTACCGCTCCATTGATTTGTTTGTCCCATTAACCCTTTTTTCTTTCCTTTTTATTTTATTTGTTAGGAGAGTATCAATCGGTAAATGGTAATACAAGTAGGGGTGTTCAAACGGTTTGGTTACCATGGTAACCGTTTTAACCAGTACTATTTGGATAATTTGGTTTGGATAATTTGGATAATTGGTTTGGTTTGGTTAAATTTTTTAGCTTGTTTGGTTTAGGTGGTTTGGTTTGGTTTCAGACACTCCTAACCAGCCAAACCAAATTAACCAGTTAAGTAATTAGTCATATATCTAATATATATTATATACACATACTTAATACTTTGCATTACCACTCAAGAGTTAACGTTCATCCCTTTTAGACTCATAAAATATAAAGCTCAATATTGCTCATATAGTGTATATTTATATATGTAAAATGTAGACCACAACATATAGACACCTAATTTAGATAAATTTCATACATTATGATGGATGAAAACTTGAAAGAAAGGTATTTTCCAGCTTATGATAATTGCTAAGAGACTAAGTCAATTTACACAAACACAACAATTCATTAACCCATACCATTGTCATAAATTTTTGTTAGGTGAATACTTCTATACTAATCGTAAGATAGTTGTCTTAGTTGCATGTATTTTTGTTAAGTGTCAACTATAACTACGTGTTGATTGTTATGTTTTATTCATTATATAAATTGAAAATTGTTGCATTAACCGGAAAATTTTCATCGTCAATGATAATGTGATTTTATATTGGTTAATCTGGTTAATCAATTAACCAAACCGATTAAATTTTAATTTGGTTAATTTGGTTGTTGTATTAGTTTGGACGGTTTGGTTATGATATTGTATTTCATGGTTAATAGAATTTAGCCTTATTTGGTTTGGTTATAACCATGGTAACCATTTGAACACCCCTAAATACAAGGGTAATACAAGGAAAGAAACTCTTGTCTATTAGTGACAACCAAACTTATTAGTACGAGGCATTTTGGGAAGGATATCCAAAAGTAAAAACCGTACAGATTTTATCCAAAGTGGACATAATCGTACTAATTGAGCAACCAGTTTCAACAGTATTGCCTATTCATAATGTGTTTGATGTGGTTGCAGAACGTGGGAGATGATGGGGCCGTGGACAGGGGCAAAAGTGGTGGTGCCGACGAAGTTCATAGTGGGGGAGCTGGACCTGACGTTGAAGCTCCCTGGAGCGGAGGCGTACATCAACAATGGCGGATTCAAGAAGGATGTGCCGCTATTGGAGGACATAGTTGTGCTGAAAGGCGTTGGTCACTTTCTCAACGAGGAGAAGCCGGAGGAAGTTACTAAACAGATTCACGATTTCTTTAACCAGTTTTGATGATCAGTTTCGTCAGTCCAAACTGATCAGTTCTTATCCCGCTGATTGAGGTTATCTTTGGGTCGGAAACTTCTTTCCATCCAAATATAACTATTGGTTGTTTCTGTCAATCTATCAGTTACGTAAAAGCTAGAGTGCTGATATGCACCCAAACTATCTTCTATTTAGTGAACTTTGCTCCTTTATTGTGTCTTGACTCTTGAGTTTCATTACTGTATGGAAAATCTGAAGAATAGAAGATAGAATTATTGGACTAATTAAAATGCCCTAGAAAGGAAATGCAAAGAAAGGTTAGGTGATGAATGGCTTGCCAAGATGAAAGCTGGACTTCTTCCAACCCCAAGCATCAATTACCAAGAAGACGTTTAATGTCCAGATGCGTTCTGCGTTCATCTAACTTCTGAGTGTTTTGGTCGTTTTGCTTGTCATATTCTGAATAATTTGTTGTCTATTGTGCTTAGGACACAAAAATAAAGGCTCATTTACCGAACAAATAGCACAACAATATATAGCATTATATTTCAAGTTTAAGATCATATATGATCCCACTGTAAAACTCTGGGCAATTCTCTAGTTATTACTAGATTGTAGAGGTGGGAAACGGTGCGGTCCGGTCCAGACCAGACCATAGATATGGTCTATGGTTCAGACCGAGAGGTTGGAACACAGACCATGGACCAGACCATATACTATACGGTCCAGACCAGACCACACCTGTGCGGTGCGGTCCGGTACGGTCTAGACCAGACAGACCATGTTAAAAGAAATTAACTCTTGTTCGCCCTCCAACCCTTCGCCGGTATCTATAAAAAAAATCTAGTGACCAATATGCTAGTGAAACAAAAAAAATTGTGACCGTATTAAATGAGAAGAAATATTAGGATAGAAGTGGGTTTTTTCAATTTTCAAATACCTTATTTCCCTATTCCTCTTTGTGCTACCGCTTCTCTCCTCTCTCGAGTGATCCGAAGGTTCTCCCAGTTGATAACCTTTTTGATGACGTCGAGGTAATTTCGAACCACTAAGATGGTCGCATATCTCTCAATAATTTTCCTTATCTCATCAAGGTGAACGATTTTTTTTGTAGTGTTTAATTTTTATCGACTCCATAGTGTTGACATTATCTGTGAATATTATTTATGAGTCTTTCTGATTTTTGTGTGGTACTTTGATAAGGAGATAACATATAAGCGATCATTTTGCAATTTGTTGGCTCTCAGCTAGATGAAGAATCAACTAACTTTGTTCTTCAAATACACATATGGAGGTTCAATTTTGTGTTATTTTTGTTCAAGTTAGTAGGTAGTGTGTCGCGGTCTGTTACGGTTTACTGCGGTAGACCGCGGTCCAGACCACTTCAAACCACGCACTAAAGGAGGAGACCGCAAACCAGACCAGACCATAGTTCTGGTCTCACGGTCCAGACCAAACCATACGATACGGTCTAGACTGCGGTTTTCCATACGGTTTGGTCTGGATTCCCAACCCTACTAGATTGTATCCCGGCCCGTTGGCCGGTTGCAATATGATGATATTAACTAACAAAGTTTTAAATTTTAAATTTCAATAATCTCCACTTCTCTTATATTCGTGCTAGGATTATATGTTAATGTCATGCGAATTAACAAATAATGATATCAATTTTATCAAATCGCAAGCTAGTTTCTTAGTTTTTATCTTTTTAAGAAAATCAAATTATTAAATTCTTCGAGAAGAGAAAATGTGCATCCATCATAAGAATCACCAACATTGTAATCAGAGCCATCTATGTTAATTCTGGTTGAAATTAAGCATGTAGGTATTTCAAAATAATCGATATCACCTATTAACCATCAACAATCTGCATCATCAACTCCACTATATTCATCATTGATAGGTGCTTCAGAACAAAAGAATTTGTCTCATTATAGTTTCACCTTTTGTTTGAAATTCATTTTTTTCCATCAATAATTATGTTCAAAATTGTTAATTTGCTTATGAAATTGCTAATTTGTGATTCAACTTGACGCTTCATTCTTCCACTATTTTTTTTTATAGATTTTCAACAGTAATTCTCAGAATCCTGAATTCTTGATGATCTAAGACAACAAACTCATATTTGGTAGTATTCACAACTCGAGTTGGATCATAAATGTGAAAAATGTTATTAGTTGATTGGGTAGTTGGATCTTAAATATGAAAAATGCTAATAATTGAGATTCATTATTTAGAAGAGCAATATTTTAGTGAGGATGATTCCCGAATCGACTATAGGAGCTTGATCTCATTTGTTATAATAAAAATTAAATAATTTAATGCATAGTATTAATAGCCTTCTACTTAAAAAAATAGCCTTAGTAAGAATTTATTGAAATTAGCAACAATTCTGCTTCATTGATTTATTTTCACTATCCATCTCTTTACTCGAATTGAAACTTAGAACTTTAATAAAACCAAGTGATTTAAATCGGTAATTGTTTGTTGTCCGATAACTAAGTGTACAAATATTTATTCACTTATTACAATCTGAAAACCCTAGAGGCTCAAAATTGCTAATAAATGTTTTCGAAATTCGCAGGAAATTATCATTTTTTTGTCGAACAATTATCATTCTTTGAGAAGAAAGCAATGATATTAGAAATTAAATTTTAGACCAAATTCTTGTACACTCGAGCTAAACATATAAGTTTATCACCGAATGAAAAATGATCATATTCTTGAATTGTTAAATCTAAAACCATATGGAACTTCATTTTTTATACGATATAATTACATGAATATTGGTTAATGCAAAAATATTTAGTGAACTATATTTAATCTCCATATAATACATGTATAACTGTTAAATGCATTTGAAACTCTTGATAAAATGTTTTTATTTTTCTGTTTATTTATTCTATATGTATAACACGTATAACAATGGTCAAAGAAATCATAAGTTTATGTCCAAATAAACTAATGATGTATTAATTTATGTTGATTTGCAATTATAAGTTATAATTTGGTGGGCTGTGGAAAAGGAAACGGAAAGCCCAATTGATATGTCCAGTTGTGTGAGTTACTCATAGTAGCATGCACGGAAAATTGAGATGCAAAAAGACTCATAAGGGCTTCCTTGCTTTGCGGGGAGGCCAGGAAAATTTTAATTGAGTAGGTGCTGAGCAAGAATCTCCATATATGTATGGTAGGAGATTATTATATTATTATTATTATTATATTATATCATTAAGCAGCAAGTAATCTAATGATAATTACTGTTCCCTACGATTTTGTCGGGTCACTATTCACGGATCTTTATTTATTTTTTTATGGGGTTTTCTGCTACAGAAGCCCCTACGGTGTACCTGTTAGAAATCGAACAAGAAAATTAGGGTTACCGAATCTGGTTGAGTCGCGGTATAGGTCGCTCTCTTTAAGACGTTCGCGGCACTGCCTCGTAATGCGCACAGCAGACTATCAGCCAGTCGCCTCCAGGATAAAACAGTCATTCTAATTTTGATGCTCATCGGTTTTGTGCGAAAAACCGGAGCTCTATGAATTCACTCTCTCTCGTGTTTCTGCTCTTCTGAGTTGTGTTAAGAGGGTCTGGGCGTCTCCTATTTATAGGAGCAGAAAACCCAGAATATTCCCTCTTTCTTTGCGAATAAGTCATATTTTAATTAGGGAGATAATTACTCCCATAATTAAAATATAATCTATTAAGATAATTATTCCTAATTATCTCCATAATATTCCTTTTATTAATTATCCATCTTATTTATGTATTATGGGAAAATACTGGATAATTAATTAAGAATTTCATTTATAGCTTTTCAAAGCTATTCATCCCAACAATCCCCCACTTGAATAGTTTTGAAACTATTTTGAGCATCAACAGTTCCATAAGATCGGGCATAAGCTAAGGTATCGCGAAGATTTGAACCTTAACGTAATGGTTACACTTCCGATTTCATAAGGGTGACTCGTAGTCTTGAACCCTATCTCAGACAATGTAGCACACCGGATCTTTTCATTGAGTGATATTCTCTCATAGGCCGTGCGTTTATGGCCATGCACGTTATCCCGGTTTAGTGAACGCTCTAGCAACTTTGTGCCTCCAAAGTTCCATAGGGAGTGGCCCCACTCCCACATTCACATAGGTGAGTCTATCAGAAGTACCCCCAAAGTAAAGTACTTCACTCCACATAGAGTATAGATCTCATTAAGAGTTTAACTCAACCTCCAAGGCTTTGGGATTCATGCTTCACTATGCATGAACTTTTCTCAATATTACTCATGACTTGTTATTACCCATTGAACCCATTTCTTGGGATCTCCAGTCTATTGGGTCGGGTTACCATCACTTGTAGTTCGTGGTTCGGTAGGCATAAGTCCCATACCGTATTTTGGACTTTCTCTCTAGATAATCCTTTTTCAAAGGATAAACTAGATTCTGTTAGGACCTTACAGGATCCACCCTCATTTCTCCTATCGTTAGGAATTATCTTACAGTACTGTGCTTACGACGAATTTGTCGTCTCTTTTCGTTCTAGAACCGGTTTCCTTCTTTTGCAATAGCTGCGGTGCTATAACAATTAATCAACTACCGGAGGGATCGGTCTTTCCCATAAGGGAATCTCTAGTAGTGACCCTCTCAATCAACTTTCCTCTTTACTAGCCATTGCTAGTTCTATCATTTCTGATTTCTTAGTTGATTGAGCCAGGATCGTTTACTTCTTTGACTTCCAAGACATAGCTTCTCTATCGATGTTTAAAACACAACCTCTTGTTGTCTTGGAGTCCTCTATAGGGTATTCTAATCCGCATCACTATACCCTACCAATACAGCAAAACCGTTGATAACAAATACCAAGGTTTTTCTGTTCTTTTAAGGTGTCTCATGACCCCTTTCAATAGCATTTCAATGCTTCATACTAGGACAAACAGTAAGCCTGCCAAGTACCCCTACTATGTCGGGTCTCATGTTTATCAGCTGCCTCTCGCAGACTGTAGATGCTAGTATGTTCTTACTTTCTTACACC